CAGTCGCGCCCCCTGGCTCCCCACCAGCCTCTTCAGCGGGAGCCTCTCCTAGCTGCACCACTCCCGTTATCCCACGTTACAGCTTTTATTTTTACATCTGTGAAACACCAGCCTGCAGGGCTGGGAAAACAACAGGGGCTGAGTCCAGGTGGGGAGGGGAGGCTGTGCGGGTCAGGGGGGTTGTGGTGGGGTCACAGCACAGTGGCGATTGAATGAACCCATTTAAAAATAAGAGCAAGTGATTTAAAAAAACAGGAGTAGCCACGTTATCCCACGTTACAGCTTTTATTTTTACATCTGTGAAACACCAGCCTGCAGGGCTGGGAAAACAACAGGGGCTGAGTCCAGGTGGGGAGGGGAGGCTGTGCGGGTCAGGGGGGTTGTGGTGGGGTCACAGCACAGTGGCGATTGAATGAACCCATTTAAAAATAAGAGCAAGTGATTTAAAAAAACAGGAGTAGCCAGCTCTGATTACAGAGCTGTCCTGGGATCCACAGTTTGAGCAGCTGTATCCTCTGCTCTCCAGCCCAGCGGCACAGCCAGCTCCTGCTGAGCAGCAATGCACCGATCTGGGCAAGTAAATAGAGCAGGTTAAAAAAAGCAGCATCAGTCCCAGCCTTATTATGAGACCCAAGAGCTCGGATAGGAGCTGTGGTGGCTGCCAATTTCCACAACCCAGAATTAAATTGTTTCTGATAGACTCCATGAAGTACGGTCTCCACTCAATTAGCTCGGTTCCCACCGAACAAGGCTCTGCGCGGTCGGGCAGGGAGACACGCCAAGCGCTGGAGGCTGCTGTGGGAGAAGATGAGCGCCCTTGTGCAGGCAGACAGCATGAAATTACAGAGGCTTTATAGGCACTTACGCTCCTGGACAGAATGGAGGAAGGTCCCTGCAATACTAAGGAGGTAGGGAACAGACCACAGATCAGTGTCCTTGCTATAAGAAACCCATCCCTTGCTGGGATGGGTTCATCTGTTCCCTAAGGGCAGCCCCTGCTTTGCTTCAAATTAGAAAAGATACTGAAGGTCCCGTGCTGCTTGCTTGCTGTTGTCTGGGGAACTTCTCCCTGATGGATGTGCTGGCCAAACCTAACCACTACTAAGTCCAGCACTATTTCAGACACCCTTTTGGCCACTCATGACCCCCACTGAGGTTGGCATCAGCTTGGGTACCATTGCAAAAATGAAATTCCTGTGGGCTGTGGTAAGGTTACACACTGCAGGGAGCCCAGCCTGACACGTAACTGGTACCCATCCTCGCCACCATGACAGCATTACCCAGTGATATCAGCCTGGCATAAAGCAGATGTTTGCTGATTAACAGCTTTGACTCACAAGTGGTCTCCAATCCCCAGGGTTTGCCACAATCCCTGGAGATCTGCGAGGAGCCTGGAAATAAATCAGCCCCAGCCAACCAGGGGCGGCTCTGCTCTCATGAACAGATTGAATCCCCGAGTGACTGAGCCCCTGAAATATGGTATGTCGCTGCTCCTTCATCTGTTACAGGGCTCCTGGCATGGCAATCCAGGTGCTCCCCAAGCCACATGCCTTACCAGTTGCTTCCCATCCCGTCCTCCAAGATGCTGATGTCTTGACCACCAGCATGCAACAAAGATGGAAGATGCAGGCTTGGCACAACCAAGGGTTAAACCTGTCGGCAGCTTATTTTGGCTGATTTAACTGCAGCCTTGTCCCTGAGACATCAGCTTTATTACTGGGAGCTGTGTGCAAGGATACGGATGACTCCTCAGTGCCCTGACCAGACGGTCTCGCGATGCCATCTGTCAGTTCAATGGCCCAGCCCCTGACACCGGCATGGGCCCCTGCGTAGCTGTGTTCCACAGCTGCCAACACTCAGATTGTTCTGTGCCCCATGAGGGACCACGACACCCAGAGTCAATTCTTCTGCCTGCTCTAATACTGGTGGCAGACAGCAACAAATCTTCCTCCTAGGGAAAGCTCCTTCCACCTGGTAGCTGTCTTTTCCAACGGGCACTGACACGGCTTGAAACTACCCATTCTCTACATTTAGCAGTAGAACAATGGTGGGAACCTGAACTGCTCAGGATTTGGGGGAGCTATGAATTTACCCACAGCTAGTGTGGTCAGGGACTAGAGACTGCAGAGAGTAACACTGATGTCTCTTGCCCCCACAGTGTTGTGGTCCTTCCTCATAGACTGGAGGTCATAGGGATCCACTGCTGTGAGCACATCTTGGGGGCAGATTGGACAGTGGCCCTAAAGACAGGAGCGGAGCGTCTGCTCACCTGACCGATGCCTTTGGGCAAGTCTGAAACTCCATTTACTAACTAAACAACAGTACAGCAAATAGTCAACTGCATAAGCTTGTCCCAGGATCAAGACAGATTGCTGCTGCTTCTGGCTCATGCACCACTTCCAATAATGAGAGCACTCCATCATGCACAACACTACCATCCTGCCAGGGAATGCCAGCAGACGGGAACACCAGCACATGGGAACACTGGTCACTGTCCAGAAACAGGGTGTCCTGCAGGGCTGATGGGCTCAGCTGTAAACTGAGTTTTGCCTATTCTGGGAGTGTGCCAGGCAGCAGGTTTGCCAGGCATGAATGGACTGCACAGCACACCTGAACACATGGGCACCTTGGTCTTCTGATGATGAAATGAGTCTAATTCCTGCCAAAATCATGTCTCATGGAATATCTCTTTTAAGAAGTTCCTCTTTCTTCTTCCACAAACTCTCTGACTGGTATCTCACAATATTTCATCACCAAAACCTTGATATGTCTTTCAAGTACAGACCTAACACGTATTCACAGGGCTAAATCTTAACAAGAGTCACTGGGAGGTATCTCAAAGCACACGTACCACCTCTCCAACCACAGCCTCAGGAGACCACAGAGGCAAAGCCTCAGCAAGTCAGTAGGTCCCAAAAAGTTCATCTCCTTGGTGCCACTACAAACTAAGTTGCCTTCTTGCTCGTCCATCCTGGCCAGCAGCCAGGCTTGCTCCATGTGCTGCTGCAAGTAAAGCCCAGGCTTGTGCCACAGTCAGCAGGACCAGACAGGGACCCCAAGGAATTCATGTCACCACTGTACCTTCCATCAGAAAAGGAAGATGTGACAGAAGGGACCAGGACAAGTGAAAGCAGGACATGGGATCTGGGACAACACAGCCAGCTCCAGAGGAAATTCCCTGCACTTTACAAAACAGCACCCCTGAGCTGGACACATACACAAGGGGATGGTTTACTAAATGGCTTCAGTCCCCAGTCCAACTTGCAAGCAAGCATTAACTCACTGAAATACAGCAGGACTTCAGGCAACTGCTAATGAGCAAATGGAGCAAATAAGCTAATTAGAAGAGCGACAGTCAAATGAGTTAAGTTGGGAAGATGATTCATTCCTACAGCGATAAGCAGGCCACAACAGAGAGACCGTTTCAGGAACGTGCCTCCTCTCCCCATGGGGTAGGACTTGCCTCAGAAGAGGCTGTGCTATGCACAGCTGCAAACATAGAAAAGCAGATGCCTCACAAGAACTTTTTTTGATGGTGATAAGCATCTGAATAAGTGTCCTGAGCTGCAGATCCACCAAACTTGACAATCAGTGAGTGTAAGCAGCACAAGCCTCCATTGCAGAGACCTGCACAGGAGGTCTCTTGGTCTGAATGGAGACCAAAGGGTTTGCAGAGCTTTCCAGAGCTTTTCCTGCTTGTAAGAGCATGTGTCTGGGTACGAGACTGCTTGTGGCCAGTCCCACACGCCTACATCATCCTCACTCCTGATTCCTTCTTTGGACTAGTTGGGATATCATGATGTGAAGAAATGGCACAAACATGAACCATGGAGTCTGCCACAAGCTCTTCACAGAGCACTCTGGGTCCTCTGTGAGTCTGCCAACATTCTGCACGCAGCTTCAAGGGTGAAACATCTCAGCCAGTAATAACAGGGACACTACGAGGAGTGAGAAAACACTCAGCCTGACCCCACCATCCAGTGAAGCTGGATGGGGCTGGAGGCACTGAGGGAAGCTGCTGGCAGCCCCGCAGCACCACGTTCAGTGTCCTTCTACATTAACAACCAGCTACTGGAATGCAGAAAGGGCGAGGGTTGAAGATGGAGCCACAGTAGGCTGCTACAGCCAGACACATCTGACAGCATAATGCTGTTCTCACCTGCATGGGCCTGGAGAACATGTTAGTCAGCACTTCTTTCCTGGCTTCAGAATATTTGTCAGCACCAAATGTTTCATTTAAGCTTTTCTGGAGGAGAAAAGAGAGAGAGCATTCAGTGCTGATGAGTTCTGGTGGTAGGGAGACCCAGGCAGACGTTACTGGGGCAAACTGCAGCTTCTCAAAGCCAAATTCTTCTTTTCTCTGCAAATCCCCTCTTAAGTCAAAAGTGTGCATCAAACTGGGCTTTGCTCTGGTCCCAGCAGCTCTGATAGGACTGCACATACAGCCCTTCTGAGCACTGACCCACCTCCCGGCATCAGTGGCAGGGAGTACCCAGGGCACAGGGACTGCAGGCTCAAACCCCAGATGTGCAGCATGTGAGAGCACCCAGAACCCCTCTCCTGACCTGTGCCTGGCTCCCCCCCAGCTACTGAGAACTTCATGGCACAACTAATGGGAGTCTGGGGAGACATGGATACAGGAGGTCACTGCCTGGGGCTAGCAGTGACGAAGGGCTGGAGGGGTCAAAGTGCAGGAGAAGAGCTGAGTGTGCAGCTCAATGTCTGCTGACACAGCCTCAGCACAGCCAGCAAGTGGGGAAAGCAGTCCCAGCTGATGTAGGGGCATGTGGGAGGCCAGCAGGGATGGGATTAACAGAGGATTATCCACAGTCCAGTTGCAGCAAGTAAAGAAAATCCTGGAACCTGCACTGTGTTGTTCAGCTGGAGTTCAGCCTCGGGACATGCTCAGCAGAGGCTCAGTCAGACACCTCCCGCTCTGGCTGCGTCTGACCGTTCCCATCACCCCTCTGCAGTCCATCCCAGCCACCCTGCTCCCCACCCTACCCTCCCTGAGACCTTCAGCAGCCCAGACAGAAACACCTTTTTTGCACAGCTACTTTTCCTGTGGTACAGAGCAAATGCCCTGTCCAGGACCTGCTGAGGGAAGGCAGAGAAAAGAAATCTGGGTGTCCCAGGGAGCGCTCCTACATTGAAATGTCCTTCCCATTGCAGAGGGCAGCACTGGAGTCATTTGCAACCTTGCAAGTGGGAGGGCCACCTTGCACAAAGGGAAGTTGCAAGGCCACCCTTGCCCAACACTGGTGGGGTCAAAAGCAAGTGAGGGAGGTGTTTTGTGGTGGCATGGGATAATTCTCAGCTCTGCTTGGGAAGAATGGGACAGGGAATAAACCACACACTGCTGCAAACATGCCATCACGTAGCTGCCCACCCTTCACCCCCATGTTCCTGCTCCCCGCCAGGCCAGTGCACTCACATGCAGGGTCCCTGCACTGCTGAAGTCGATGTTGAGGCCAACTTGGTTGCAAAACTCCATGAGGTCTTTCAGCAGCTTGCTTTGAGGTGGGGGATGGCGGCGAAGCAGGGCCTGATTGGGGAAGGAGCGGTAGATCTGGTGGGCCACGGCCATATTTGCAAGCAGCATGAACTCTTCCACCAGCCTGTGGCACAAGAAAAACAACCCCAGACCACAGTTAGAGAGGGGACCTGCTAAGCCAAGTCAGTCCATAGTGATGGGAACTAGTACGACATAGGGGGAACAGAGGACCAGCTTGTAGTTGCTGTTATAAGCACAGATTAGATGTGAGACTTCAGCAAATCTCCCCGCCAATTCTCACTTTATATCTGAGGTTTCCCCATGGGCTCAGAGCAAGCTGTCCTGCTGGCACAAGACAAGCAGAAGTCCGTGATAAACTGACAGCTTAAATTAGGATAAAATAATCTCCCTTTAGGTTATTTTATCTCCTGAAATGTTTGACAAGCAAAACAAACGCTGTGTGAGAGATAGCACGGAAAACAAACACACATCGCTGTCTTCATGGGCCAGAGAAAACAGCGTCTCGGTCGCTCCCCCATCCCAAACTCAACATGTGTGGTCAGGCCCAGCCATTGAGCTCTGCCTCATGCCCGGCTTCCACCCAGAGCAAGACGTAAGTGCAGACCCCGGCCAGGGCAAGCCACAAGTGCAGCTTATTGCAGGGCTGCATCCAGCATCCAGGTGGTGCAAAGACTCTAGGGGCTCCTCCATGCAACCTGCAGACTGCTGGGGGTATCGCAGGCTGGGGTGAGCCCCTCACTTGCCACCTCTGAATGTACATGCATTGAATGAAAATCTCCAGGACCACATGCTGCAAAGAAAAGCAATCCTAGTGCTAGAGATCATCTTTGGAGTATTTATGGGTTGTGCTACCAGCTGTAGCACTGTGCCACATGAGACTTGTTTAACTGGGCTTAGATAAGCAGAGATGTGCTTATCTGGGTTTCCTGCTATTTGCTGCATGTATTCCCAGAGCTCCTAACTGGTGCTAATTGCCAAAAAAAGATAATAGATTTACAGAAGTAACCTCATCCTGTGAGCAGTTCCCAAGGGAGCTGTCACTGATTACTGTGGCTCAGCCCCATTGTTCCCACAGGCAAAGCAGTGCTTTTGTAGGGCTGGCTGGGTGGTCCTGCAGCTCCTGGCCCTGGCAATCAACGGCAGCACTTGCCAGGTGAGATGTGCAGGGTGCCGTGCTCCTGTGGTTACTTGCTACAGCGGTGATACATTTCCAGCCTGAGAGTACTTGCCAAGAACTGGAAAGAGAAAGGAAGTAAAGACAAGCCCAGAGGAGGAATAAGCACCTGACAGTTATAATGAGCAGTGTGAATGTTCATCTTTAATGCGAAGGTGCTCCCTTAATAAGAGCCTTGTGGGTTCTCCCAGGGCGTGTTGTGCCAGAGGTCAATACCGGACCCTGACAGGAGGGCAGGAGGGACACCCTTGCACAGGGCCAGTGCAGGGAGCAGTGGGGAGCAGCACAGCCTAAGTGGGAACAGGCTACCCATCCATCTTGTCCTCTAAAACGCCTGCCGATGATTAGATGCTACAAGAAGGCCAAGGGCTGGGTAAGGGGCTGGGACCCGTGGGAGCCGGCTCCGTGCACACCCGTGGGGGGCGACTTCCAAGAGGGTTGAGCCAAGCTCTTGCTGCTCCTGTGCAGCTAAGCCAGCAGATGGCAACAGCGGTCCCTCTACGGTCACCAGCACTGGGGGGCTGCAGGACAGCAAGCCCCAAGGGTGCCGGGCACCGAGCTGTGCAGCACCCAGGGGCGGGAGGCAGGGCAGCGAGTAGCACCCAGCGGGTTATGTATGGCACGGCCATGCCCGTCTCCAGACAGCAAATGGGCAACTGTGGCCCGAGGACATGTATGAGGCTCTGCCAGGCCATGCTCATGTCTGGGAAGCCCCTTCTGCCGAAGTCAGCTCGTAGCAAGGCACAGCAAACAGCATGGGCTGTGAAAGGCAGCGCCTCTCCTTCTACGGCTTTGGTGCAGAGGAAAAGGGAGACATTTCTAGTGCTAGCCCAGCAACACAGATGTACACGTGAGCAAAGCCTGGCCACGGAATCCCTGTGCCTCCCTTAAAATGTGGCCTCTACGGAGAAAGGAGCAAACCCATTTTTAAAGACAAAGCAAAACCACCTATGAACAGTGTCTCCTCTCTGTCACAGGCAAAAAGTCTAGAGAGGAAGACTAAGTGAATACTTAAGCAACCCCTGCCATTCTTGCTCCCGTTGAGCACTAGGGTGTGAAGCCTTTACGTCTTACATCCATCAACACTTTGGGACAGATGCAATTCCCACCTGGACATTAAGTTATTTTGTTCTATCATTTTAGGACTTGGGCTTTTATATTTTCATAGAGATATGCTTGTTCTGATGTTACTGAAATGAAGGTAATACCTAAGCACTCTCCTGCCAACAAATGCTCTTACACCCAAACGAAAACTAACAGCACACACTTCCTGCTTTGCTCTGCAAGAACCCATAGTCTCTCCCTTCAACATGTGGAGTGCCAGCCCCCAGACAGCATCAAAGACAGACCCCATCAAGAAGCGGGACCTGGCACATGGTTGAATGGAATGCATGGGCAGGAAACTCTTACCAGGAAGCACCCATAACAGGGTGTGCAGGATGTGACCATATATTCAGAATTGAAAAGCTACTTGTCTTGCTCACTCACCTAAAGGCAGGAGCAGGCTTTGTGAGATGAAGCTGCAGTTTGGGCTTTCAAGGAGCAGATAGATAATATGGATGAGATCAGACACTGCCCTGTATCCAGGGGGAAGAGAAGCCCCAGGACCCAATGGGCTGGTTTGTATCTCAGGTTAACAAACCGCAGCGCCCTGGGAAGGCTGCAATGCCCTATGGGTTGATGCCAAAACACCCTGCATGGATGGAGGGTCCTTCGCAGCTCTGGATCACCTGGGGGTCATAGAACTGCTCCCCACATGCACCCCTCTGCAGCATCCCTGCAAGGGATGGTCAATGTGGGGCTCATCCATGTTAACTCCTAGACACATTTAGTTTCGAACATCAGGATTTAGTCCCCGGGGACAGTAAAGCAGCTTCCAGAGAGGAGAGGTCACAGCAGGGCTAATCAGGAGCATGTGAGAGCCTGCCAGGGTCAGAGGGAATGGGCTAGGGGCAGTGAAGGAGCTGGCACTTGTGCCCGGAGTTAAGCCAGGTCACCTCTTCCAGCAGAGCAACAGAATCTATGGCTCAGGACACCAGAAGGGAGCCAAGATCTGCCAGAAACAGCTGCTTAACATGGTGGTCTCACTGCACCTAAAAGGAAAACTATATTCCCAAGAGGGGTTTACACTGAGACTGGATGGGATGTTGGAGACTGAGGAGGATGAGCCATGTCGTGTGGTGTCCCTGCTCATGGCAGGGGGGTTAGAACTAGATGATCTTAAGGTCCTTTCGAACCCTAACTATTCTATGATTCTATGTCTGGGACAGCCCATGAAGCTGGCAAGGCTTCAGCTGCTGAGAAGCAGGAGGGCACAGCAAAGCTGCTGCCATCCTGCCTTCCACACGTGGCCTTTTAGTGGCACTTTTAGCTAATGTCCTTCCACTTGGCAAGCTCTACGTTGCAGTCTGGATAAAGGCAATGGTTGCTGCGGCAGGTGGGAGCAGAGGCTGGCTGGCAGTGGCCAGACCAAGCGCCTGGCACTGGTGTTACTGGGAGCCACGCTGAAGCCCTGCTAACTCATCGGCACGTCTAACGACAGGAGTTTTGGGTTTTCTTTTTCTTTTTTTCATGAAACAGCCTAGCTGGAGTTTGGCTCAGTGCGGCTGGCAGCCGGGAATGCAAAGAAAAATATTTCATGGCTAAAAAAATGGAGACAGAAAGACTGGTCCATCTGAATGCGCGCTGAATGAATCCCATGTGAAGTGCATTCTAATGCCATCGCTACAGTTTCCTCTGGATTAGTTGAGCTATCCTTGGCTCCTGGCTCCATAAAATCCCATAAACAATCTGATCTGAACTTTTGCCCTTTCCGTGCTGATGCAAGGTTTCCTGTGCTGTCCTGTGGAGAGGGCTGGGGGTTAGTAGGTGGCTGTCGCTCCTATAGGTGCCTATGGATCCTGGCTGTCCTGCTCACCAGAACTGCAGGAGGGAGCATTTCCAAACCTGTTCAATGCATCATTTAACATGTGCACATTTGAGAGGGAAGAGAGGGAGGGGCAGGACGGCTTGCAAGCTCTCTAAGCGTTTTCTGCCATCTCTTTCAATACCCAGATTTTGCTCATGAGTTACAGGCTTGGTGGGGGAGTTAGTGGGTGAAACTACATAGACTGCCTTATGTAAGAGGTCAGCTGAGGTGTACATATTTCAAAAACACTAATTTCTGAGTTTCAAAGATGATCAAGGCATACCAGCTCCTAAATCCCACCAACTGCCAGGGGGATTGCAGGCTCCTGAGATGCTATTAAACACACTTGGTGCTTTTCAGAATATCTTAAATGATGGTCACAGCTCTGGTAAACTAATAGCCACCTATGAAAGCATCCAGCTGAAGAGGATTGACAACATCTCAAGGGCAGCCCCAAACCCAAGCTACTGGGCTTAGGTTCTCACACAGCTCCTACCACAGCCAAACATCTGCGTGAAGAGGAGCTGCACATTGAGACTCTGGAATTGCTTTAGTAGCAGCATTACCATTTGCTCTGTAAAACGCTAGCTAGACCCTTTCCCAATTTCTTGATAGCAACCTTGAAAAACTCCTCACATCCTCAGCAAGTTCGTTGGCTGATAGCAAATAAAATACGGGCTTCTTATGCCAACTCTCTGCAGAGTGAAGCAGGGCAAGTGAAATGTCTGTTTGACTCCTTGTCTCCATGGCAATGCGGCCAGGCTGTACGGCAGCCATTGAAGTACCCACTCTCCCTGATTAACTTGACAAATGACATTAGCTAAGCAAGGTTCACTGCAAGGGAGAGACAAGGAGTACTTTGTTCACAATCCACTAAGTGCAGGAAGGAGGCAGGCAGCTTGGTTAAAGCAAAGCAACACTAAAACATCTGCTATTCCACCAGTGTAGCAGACCTGTAAGCTTCAGAGCAAACAGCAAGGTAGGACTGGACAAATGAGCACGGCTCTCCCTGCAAGCTGTG